GGGGTCTCCCCAGAGAGACAGCGAGGGACTGGGGTCTCCCCAGAGAGACAGCGAGGGACTGGGGTCTCCCCAGAGAGACAGGGAGGGACTGGGGCTCCCCAGAGAGACAGGGAGGGACTGGGGGCTCCCCATATAGATGGTGAGAGACTGGGGGCAACCCAGAGAGACAGTGAGGGACTGGGGCTCCCCAGAGAGAGGGATGGTGCTCAGGTTATCTGCTGCCCAGGGGATCAGAGCGCCTCTCCGAGGGAGGAGAGAGAGTCAGATACGGAGAACGTGATAGTTTCCTGCACTGATTTGCTCCCTCTCTTTTCCACTAATCTCATTCTTTTGGGAATTCTGGGATTAGATTCTTTATTTTACAGAAGAATGTCGATCTAATCCTGGAGTATTTCTCACAGTGCAGCAGGAAGTGCATCTCTGTCTCTGCTTCTCCCCGCTGGCAGTGGGAGAACAGCCTGTCTTCTCTGGACAGCCAGGCCTACCTGTGTCCAGTTTCTATGTCCAGTCTGTGGTCACTCTAGGGGCGGAGCGGTGGCACTGTCGCTAAGGATCTGCGGCTGTAGCTCGAAGGTTGCTGGTTCAAATCCCGCGGCCGCCAGAGAAAACCTACTCCGTTGAGCCCCTGAGGAAGGCCCTTAACCCCAACTGCTCCAGGGGCGCTGTACAATGGCTGACCCTGCGCTCTGACCCCAAGCTTCTCTCCCTGTCTGTGTCTCAAGACTAATTCCTAATGCAAGAAATTGTATAGGGCTAATAAAGTGATCTTATCTTATCTTACTCTGCCTGTGCTCTCTGGACAGCCAGGTCTGCCTGTGTCCAGTTTCTATGGCCAGGCTGTGCTTACAAAGCCTATTATTTGTCAGGGTCTGTTTCTCTTTACTGTCTCTCACCCTGGTCAGGTATTCTGCTAGTGTGTGTTGTCTGTTTAAGGCTTGTGTGCAAGGTAGCGTATGGTGCTGTAACTGGGTTGACCCAAACAGCCTTTTGATTTATCTGCCCTCTCACTGTCCCTCCCTGCTCTCTGCAGAGTTCGTCAGGATGATGTCGCGCTGAGGACAGGAGGTGTGGCGTCTCTGTGGATTTTCACTGGAGGAGAGCAGCTATCCCCACCCTGTCCCTGAGAGAGAGGGGAGAGAAGAGATGGGGAAAGGGAACAAGAGTGAGAGGGAAGAGAGAGGGAAGAGGAAAGAAAGGAGACCGACTGAGCCATCAGCCCTGAGAGAACTGGAAACGTTTGAAGTACCTCTGACCTGGAGAGACACTAATCACTATGACCTCTATATTCGTTTCACTGCCACCTTGATAGGACTGTCTGAACAGAACACTGAACCACAGTGACCAGCTGACACCCTGACTGATCTGCGCACTGACCGCCAGACAGAGACGTCGTCAGACGGATGGACATTCTCAGCACTTTCTCACCCTTGCCCTCCCCGTTTCATATCCTGGCTGGGGGCGGGGACCCCCCACCCTGTGTCTGCCGTGTTTTTCTGCGTGTCTGTGTGCCTGTGCACGAGACTCCGTGTGGAGCTGTGCGTGTGCCGTGGCGTGAGTGTGCAGGCGTGTTTCCAAGCCTCTGTTGTCTCTCTGTGTGCGTCTGTCCTCATCCCTGTGGCTGCATGCATGCCAAAAACACACAACCAAATGAATGAAGAGGCTTGTTCTTATTCAAGAGGAAATGATGAATAAATCATGCAAATGAGGATCTGAGTGCTTCTGGTCGCTCTCTCCCTCGACCGGGACGGCATGGCGCTTCCTGGGGATGGGGGCTGCTGTGTGGATTCTGGGGATTCATTAACATATCGATCTGTTTATTGATCGGAGTCTTGGCACAGCTCCGTAGCGGAAGCCATGCTGTTTTATTCGCAGAAGTGGTCGGTTAAGAGATGCTCCGCAGTCTGGAGAGACACAGCCTCCTGTTCTCAGGAGAGGTGTTCTCTGGTGTCTCCCGTTAGTGACTGACAGGACTAATCCTGCCACCTGGTGGCCAAAACCGAGCATAGTATTCCACAACGAAGTGTTCCTCACACATGGAGACAATCCTACTGTTATAATAATAATAATAATAATAATTGCTTACACTTATATAGCGCTTTTCTGGACACTCCACTCAAAGCGCTTTACAGGTAATGGGGACTCCCCTCCACCACCACCAATGTGTAGCATCCACCTGGATGATGCGACAGCAGCCATAGTGCGCCAGAACGCTCACCACACATCAGCTATCAGTGGGGAGGAGAGCAGAGTAATGTAGTCAATTCATAGAGGGGGAGTATTAGGAGGCCATGATTGGTAAGGGCCAATTGGAAATTTGGCCAGGACACCGGGGTTACATCCCTACTCTTTTCGAGAAGCGCCCTGGGATTTTTAATGACCACAGAGAGTCAGGACCTCGGTTTTACGTCTCATCCGAAGGACGGCACCTGTTTACAGTATAGTGTCCCCATCACTATACTGGGGCATTAGGACCCACATGGACCACAGGGTGAGCGCCCCCTGCTGGCCCCACTAACACCTCTTCCAGCAGCAACCTTAGTTTTTCCCAGGAGGTCTCCCATCCAGGTACTGACCAGGCTCACACCTGCTTAGCTTCAGTGGGTTGCCAGTTGTGAGTTGCAGGGTGATATGGCTGCTGGATACTGTTGCACATCCCAGCATCCCTTCAGCCTGTTATCAACTGCTGTTCACAAGGGAGCAAAGATTTGAAGTCATAGCGCATTGAGTGATGTACTGAGTTTTGCTATGGTATTCTACAGATTTGGATAAAGAAAAAAAATGTATTTACATTTTTATCAGATTGCAAAAAGGGCCCAGAATAACTCCAGCATCTAGATCAGATGAGAGAGAAGTTTTGTTTTCCCTCTGAGGGTCTTTTCAATGTCGTATGATGACGTCTGCTGAGGACTGACAGGCCAGGTTGCCATGGAGATGAGCCATCCCTCTCTCTCCCGCACGGCGCTCTCCTGCTCTCTGGTGGCGGATCTTGTAATTACAAAAGGAATTACACCTGAAGAAGGCTTCACAGCCGAAACGTTGTGTTTTCTCTCTTCTCTTTTCCGCATGGAATAAACCTATTACTTGTTCCTTTGCAGCCTACGCATGCTGACGCAGCTCCCCACCTGAACTACTTGTAATTGCAGGTTCATCAGACTCCCTGCGGCTGCAGCAGGCAGCTGGGAGTGAGTGTGTGAGAACATACGAGCGGAGACAAACAAGAGGAGGGCATCTGACTCCATTTTCACTGGTTATTCTGGAGACGTTCCCGGGGGTGACTTTGAGGAATCTGAAACCTTGGATCAGGTTCCCTCATAGTCCTCTCAGTTCAAGACATTCAGTTCCTTCAGCCTGTCAGTGTGGGACACTCCCTTCAGACTAAAGACACTCAGTTCCTCCAGCCTGTCAGTGTGGGACACTCCCTTCAGGCTAAAGACACTCAGTTCCTCCACCCTGTCAGTGTGGGACACTCCCTTCGGACTAAAGAGACTCAGTTCCCTCAGACCGTCAGTGCGGGACACTCCCTTCAGACTAAAGAGACTCAGTTCCTCCCGCCTGTCAGTGTGGGATACTCCCTTCAGACTAAAGAGACTCAGTTCCCTCAGACCGTCAGTGTGGGACAATGCTTTCAGGCTAAAGAGACTCAGTTCCTCTAGCCTGTCAATGTTGGACACTCCCTTCAGACTAAAGAGACTCTGTTCCTTCAGCCTGTCAGTGTGGGACACTGACACTCCTTTCAGACTAAAGAGAGTCAGTTTCTTCAGCCTGTCAGTGTGGGACACTCCCACCAGACTAAAGAGACTCAGTTCCTCC